AGATAATCACGTAGGATTCCTAATGTATAGTATTATGTCCTAAAACTAATAGGATTATAAGGTTAATATCTAGAATTTCGACTATGTTCTTTTATTATGAGTTATTATGCTTAATATTATAAGGTTATTTTTGTAAACCGACATTGTATTCATGCTTTTATAATAATATAGATATAGATATAGATATAGATATAGATAGATGGATAATAGCTAGACATAGTAGATTGAAACGAGCCCAAACAGATGAATGTTCTCAAACATTATCAGGTTCACTGCACAGCTTTCACATCAACACTGGAAGAGGAGGGAGTCCGGAACCAAAATGTTGTTATTTTGGACTCAAAAGACACAAATAAGTGTAAAAAAAAAGTGACCATAATATATATAACGCCAGAAAACCTGGCGCTATATAATAACGGTAACGGCACCGTTAATATATAGCGCCAGGTTTTCTGGCGTTATACTGACACAGTGATATAGCGCCAGAAAACCTGGCGTTATACCCTTTTTTTCCTGACCAGAGTACAATAATTCAAAAGCGTATAGTGCCAACTTATTTGGCGCTATATATGTAAAAAAAAATCTTCCCGGCTCTCCATTTTCTATATAAAGAGGTTAGAATCACATAGAAATGCATTCAAAATTTTTTNAATATAGTGCCAACTTATTTGGCGCTATATATGTAAAGTAAAAAAAATACTTCCCGGCTCTCCATTTTCTATATAAAGAGGTTAGAATCGCATAGAAATGCATTCAAAGTTTTTTTTAACTCTTTTGAAACGTCTGTTGTTGTTAAATTCTCCAGCATTTTTTTATTATGTCTGAAGAGCGTAGGATAAGAGTTTCATTATATTGGGGTGGTGAGGTTGTGATGGAGAATAACTCCGTGGGCTACAGTTTACCTGCTAAGTGTCATGTTAAATTGCCACTGACAATGGAGTACGATATATTGATATCGTTGTTATGCAAAAAAAATGAGAGTGAGGAAACGTTCGGTGATACTTAAAGTAACCGGAAGATATCCTTATTTCGTCACTCCGCAAGGGGTTGCTTTTTACTCGGAGTTTAACATCGACGATGATGAAACTTTGAGTGATTTTTTGAGGACTCCGGACGAATGTCGGGATTTTCTTGTAATCACAATGTTGGAGATGTACGTGAAGGTCGAAGACGTTCCAAAAAATGAGGTTGTGCGTAGTAGAGATAACCCCCACTCATCGGGTGGTTATTCTGGAACAGTTTTTGCCGGACAAGTTCCGGATGAAAGAGTTATCTTTGATTTAAACTTATCACCTCCGGTGAATGAGCAGCGAGAAAATAATTTATACCCTGCTTTCCATAACTCACAAGACGAGTGGTAAATTTCAATTTTCATTTGTGTTAATTATGTATATTTTTGTTGTATTGAATTTGTATTAACGCTCACATATTTAATAGGGGGTACCGGCCGGATATGAATTTTACAAGTGGCCCATCCGGTAGTCATCACCTAATTGATAACGTCCATCATGGAATTTCATCACATTACGACTTGTAAGTGAAGTGATTTACACAAAATATGAAAATTATTTATTAATTTAGTAGCTTATATTTTTGTTGGTTGTGCAGTGAAAACGAGTAAGTTGAACTCACTCAATTGCCCGAAAATGATGTATTACATCGGGACCTGGCAGATGCACAGAGTGAGGAACAGAACAGTGATTACGATAACAATACGGATGAATCCGGGGATGAGACACCCTTTGCTCGTGAGGATGGTGATGCAGAGGATGAGGAGGAAGGACCTGATTTGAAGAGAGACCCCCTAGACGAAGAGTGTATGAGTCCGAAGTGCGGTTTCATTCAAGAGAGATTCCTTACATTGATAACTTGCCAACCGTTCCGGATGTGGAAGCTCTCACAAGGGATTTTGATGAAATCCGGACAGCAATGTGGGATGAGTCTAGACCAACGGTACTTGCAAAGGGGATGCTTTTTCCTGATAAAGCGCGCCTAAGCAGGGCTTGTAAAATGCACAACGTAAAAGAGTGTCATGAGATGCAGGTATGGGAGTCAAGTCCGACGGTATACAAGGTTATTTGCCGCAGGTGGTTTTGGCCATGTAATTGGATGTTGCGTGCGACCAAGAAGAAGACAGGTATGTGGAAAGTGGGTAAATACATTCCCACCCACACATGCAAAAATGGACACATTCAACGGGAATCACTTCAACTTGGATATTGACTTGATTTCTCTTGTTCTTATTCCACACATCGAACAGTCTATAAGGTATAAAATCAAAGAGTGCATTACATCAGTCCAGCAGGAACATGGCCATACCATTACTAAAAGAAAGGCATTTCTCGGGCGCAAACGAGCGTTTGAAATAGTGTATGGTAACTGGGATAAGTCATTTGCAGATCTGCCTAGGTACATGGCTGCACTACAGCATTTTAACCCCGGGACGGTTGTTGAGTGGAAGCTTGAGCAAAGTGCAGGTAAACCAGAATATATATTCAATTACGTGTTCTGGGCGTTTAAACCAGCAATTGATGGTTTTTCGCATTGTCGCCCCGTAATATCCATAGACGGCACTCATGTCTATGGAAAGTACGATATCAAGCTGTTAATAGCCGTGGCAGTAGATGCTAATGGACAGATATTTCTTCTAGCTTTTGCTATTTGTGCCAAAGCAAATGGCGGAGAGGTTCGTTGAAAGGTCTGCGGCTGCAACGTCATTGATGGAAAGGGGTGTTGAATTTATGCCAGTACCGATGACGAGATTTGAGAAATATAGACGACGAGCACATTGGCATTCATTTTTGCAGTATGATAATGAAAGAAATATTTTTGAAGTTCGCACCGCTATCCATCAAAATCGGGGTAATAATGTGCATACTGTAAATGAATCTGCAAGGTTATGCTCTTGTGGAAAATGATCCATCTACCACATGCCTTGCTCACATGCCATCAAGTGCTTTCAACAAGTTGGTTTAGGTGCAACTAACTATGTTGATCGACAATATAGTGTTTCCAAGTACCTAAACACATATAGTGGTCAGTTGCAGCCACTGGGTGCTGAGCATTATTGGCCTCCTGAACCATTTAAAATGGTGTGTAACAAGTCCTATTTGCGTAAAATACAGGTGCAGAAGAGAACGCGTATACGGAACCAAATGGATGTTAGTGATACAGTTTATGCGCGAAAATGTGGTATATGCTCGCAAACAGGACACGACCGTAGAAAATGTCTTTTGGGTGGCAACAGTAATCAAGCTCGGGGTGGGTGTTCTTCTAGTGTACCTAACTACCCATGAGTTGATGTTGTAATAATTAGTTATTATGTGTATGTTGCCTGATTTATGAAATAAAATTATGCTTGTAATAAAATAATTATTTTCCAAGTCCAGCACATTGCCACTCTTCTATGTATAAGAAAAATAAAGATGCTTTGACATTAACATAATTCAACTTTCACAATATTTGGTTTGATTCTAGATAATGGAAGAAATATCGGTCCAGTTATTTCACCTTTTTTTCTTTTTCGTTATTTTTCCTCTGGGAATATTCAAACGTAACATGAATTTCCATTTAGTATGTGTGTGTCCTCTTGTCGAACTGAAAAAGCTGACCAGCTGACATAAAGTAGTCTTATTAACATCATGATATTTAACACGCTAAATATAGCGCCATTATACCTGGCGTTATGTGTGTGTTGTCTTGTCGAACTGAAAAAGCTGACCAGCTGACATAAAGTAGTCTTATTAACATCATGATATTTAACACGCTAAATATAGCGCCATTATACCTGGCGTTATGTGTGTGTTGTCTTGTAGAACTGAAAAAGCTGACCAGTTGACATAAAGTAGTCTTGTCAACATCATAATATTTAACACGCAAAATATAGCGCCATTATACCTGGCGTTATGTGTGTGTTGTCTTGTCGAACTGAAAAAGCTGACCAGCTGACATAAAGTAGTTTTCTCAACATCATGATATTTAACACGCTAAATATAGCGCCATTATACCTGGCGTTATGTGTGTGTTGTCTTGTCGAACTGAAAAGACTCGACCAGCTGACATAAAGTAGTCTTGTCAACATCATGATATTTAACACGCTAAATATAGCGCCATTATACCTGGCGTTATGTGTGTGTTGTCTCGCCTATAAATAACGGGCTCATTGTAGTCATTTTGTGTGCTCAAAATTTACTAAACGCAAATATATCATTAAAAGAAAGATTTTTTTTACTAAAAGGAAATATTTCACAAATGGCTCAACCTCTTCGTCCACCAATGTGCTACTGTGGAAAAGCATGCGTGATGAACAGTTGCTGGGAAGGTCGTGATGTTGGACGCCGCTACTGGCACTGTATGAACCAGTTGTACAAGGTTCCCGGCGAACCTATGTGTGAGTTTGATGAATGGGTTGATGAACCATGTTATCAGGAATGCTACAGAGAACAACTGCAATCTCTTCATAATAAGTGGTTATGCCAACTGGGAGTACAAAGAGCAAGCGATAGAATTATTACAGAAATGAGGGAGAAACTAAAGCAGGTAGGAGATGAAAAAGGGAGAGCAGAATGGAATTGTGAAGCACAGAAGGAACGTAAAAAAAAATATAAACGGGAACTTGCGGAGGTGAAGGCGAGAGTGAAAGAGTTAGAAGAAGAAAAAGAACAAATGGAACAACGATTTAAGTGGTTGGAGCGGAGAATAAATGGCAGCCGGGACTAAACAATGGCCTGTATGTGTTTAGTGTATTTTTCATATTTCATGTATTTTTATTATGTTGGCATGTTATGTTTGTGTTTGTATTGTACTAATGTTTTCCTTGTTTGTTGTACTGAAATTTATTTTAATTGAAGTGGCATTTAAGTTTAAATGCTTGTGTTGTTATACGAAACAATAAAACACATGGAGAACTAAAAAAAGTAATGGACATATTCGATTAAATATTGTTGTTAATATATACAAAATTACTATTTACACCAAATAAAAAAAAAAGGAAGGCCGACTCAATGTGTCCCGCATCCGGTGTGTCTCAATGTAGCCGTCGGCCTGAGGCATATTCCCTCCCGCCCGGGTACGCTATCAGGAACATCATCTTCAAGTTTTCTCCTTATAGCCGGATGCGGCGCAGGATGACATGTATCGATGGTGCTGTCAGGTCCAGTAGAATGCTACATAATAATATAAAACTTAGTTTAGAAAACTACATAATAATTCATAACAATTTATATTATCTTACCATAATCGTGTCTGGATCCTGAATGTAGCCATCTGTCGCAGCATCACATGAAGCCTGAAAAAAGGAAATTAATATAGTGTAACAAAATAAATAAGTTATAGTTAAAACAAATTCAAATTCAATACTAATAAACTCATACCTGCGCATGTGAAGAGCTGCCATAACTCAGTCGGCGCCCACTAAATAAATCTCGGGTCGGTCGACCCTCATCAGTGGTAGACGGGCCAGGAAAATATCTACCCCAATCCGCTCCTTGAAAATCCGAGCTCGTGATCAATAGTTGACCCGATGGGGTCATCTGTGATGGCACTGGAGTGTCAAAAATTCCCAGGCTGTAAGACGGCATGTCAGTCTCATGCATGCCACCTGCCATATCAGCAGCAACATCATCATCAGGAGCATCATGGCCCCCCTGCTGAACACCACCTCCTCGGGTAGCACGAGGTCATCGGGCACCAGCAGCTCGTCGGGCACCAGCAGGTCGTCGGGCACCACCACCTCGTGGGATACCACGACCTCGCTGGTACGTGGCTGGGTCAATATAATCAGCCTCGTGTGCCAAACGCTGATCCGATCGGGCTCG